GTTCATATTATGGATATAGTCAGAGTGTCCTCCAGGTTTTCATGCTCAAATTTAATCCCCATTGTGAAGTAGTCAGGGGCAGGAACTTAAAACTATCATGTTTAGAGTTAGGAGTTTTAGGGCGTGGTTAGGGATAAACAGGGTAGAGCCTCCATGAATGGATCCTTGTGGTTTTATAAGAAGAAATAGAAAATATGCACACATGCATGAGAGAGAGACACACAGAGAGACAGAGAGTGAGACAGAGAGAGAGAAAAACACACACACACACACACACACACACACACGGAGAGAGAAAGAAACAGAGACACAGAGAGAGAGAGAGACAGCGACAGACAGTAACAGGGAGAGAGCAAGAGTGCTCCCTGTGTCTTGCTATGTGATGCTCTGTACCATTTTGAGTCTCCAAAAGGAAACTATCACCAGATGTGGCCCCTTGTTGTTGGACCAGAATTGTGAGCCAAAATAAGTCTCCTTTATTTATATGTCACCTAGTCAGTGGTATTGTGCTATTGGCAATAGAAAATGGAGTAATGCAGTGCAGATTAGACAAATTCATTGAGATGGAAAGTAGATTAGTGGTTATTTAGGGGTAAGGAAAGTAAGGAAGTGCTTAATGGGCATGGGCTTCTTTAGGGGGTATGAAATATTCTGGAACTGTATTGTGGTAATGGCTGCATGACTTTGTACTAAGATTTCTAAATTGTATACTTTAAATACATCAATTATATGGTATGGGATTTATATCTTAAAGTTATTACCTTAAAATAAATCATACCTATTATATCCCTCCTCTTTTCCTCTTTCCTTCCATAGGCAATCTCAATAGAGCTTACCAGCTGCCTGGCAACACCATTTTCTCCAAATTCCATGCTGCATGTTTTGTGATAGCATCTTTTTCTCAAAGCTAATTTAGATGTCCATTTTGTTAGATTTTTTTTGAAGTAAAATGTTGCATATAAGGACCATAAAGAAAATTTACTTGTGTTTTGCTTTCCTTTTTCTTTTTACTTTGGGCCTAGATCTTACCTATATATGATACTTACTGAGTGAGTAGGTCAGTAATTAAAGGCAAGAGTCTATGTAGTCTTCATGTGATCCAAACATGTAGACACACACATACACATACACACACAGTTAAAAGGTAACAGTCCTCAAGGAACTTATAGCGAACAGAAACAAGGTAAGAGGACATGAATGAGTTGGGCGGGTTTTTTTAGATAAAAGTATTCTAACTACCCAAACTAAAGCATTCTTTGGAAGGAAGTCATCCTTCCATCCTACTTTGATTCTCTGAGCCTTGCTCATCACCTTCCACTGGTCAGTATTCTGGAGCTACATGTGACTCGCTTGTGCATATCTTCCTCTTTCTTCTCTTTCTCCCTTGTGGATGCCAAGCACCTTTCACAGAGCAGCTCCTTGGAGGCCCGTGAGCAGTGTTGTTCAGGTTTCTGTGCCTTGCAGACATCAACCCTATCCTACATCTTAGGTGGCTCAGAAGAATTCTGAATGTTGCCAAAGATGTCAAGAGCTTTTAGACCAGATGGCTTTTAAACCTGTTTTCATTTTTGTTGTTGTTGCTGCTGTTGTTGTTCCTGCTGTCAGGGATTGAATGTGGGTGTGGATGAGGTGTCAGATTGTGGTGGATCTACCTTACAGAATTCTGATGCTTCCCAAAGGGTGATACTGACTCCTGAATACATACTGGAATTCAGAGGGTCACTTAGAACATCACCTCCATTTACCAGCCCCTGGAAGGCCTATACTTTAATTGGGAAGGGACTCCCAAGCCTAAGGAATCTCATGACTGCTAACACTTCCAGAATCACTCATCTAACGAAGATTAAAAGAGTTGGAATCTAGATATTACTTGCAAGAGCAAAGAGTGTCAGAAGCAGGGCAAATTTTCAGTAAGTTTTTCCTAGTAAGGCAAAGGAACATAGAAATAAGACAATAGATGATTTAGTGATCTGAAGCACCAGGAAGTCTTAGGGTGGAAAATAGCACAGCTGGTGGATGAAAGGAATTCATGGCAGGAAATTTATAGGTCTACACAGCCACAGAGGAGGGGATCCAATAAAACTATAGCAGGAGCTTTGCTCTGCAAGGGCCCATAATGATTTAGTTGGGACATTAAGATTAATACACTGGAAATAATTTGTAATTTGGTGCCAAACTTTGGTATGGACAAAAATGTCAGAGATGGCACAGGTCACATGGACTGACATCATCTGAAAGCTAAAGGCTGATTCAGACAAAATAATTTATACCCCAGCTACAGTACCTACAGCTTTTAGAGATGAGTGTCTCTCAGTCACGCTTGGTTTCATGGGAGAAGTATGGGGGAAGAAGTTTCATAATCACAGTTTGTCAATCACTGTTGTCATTAACAAGAGTCACAGTAAATATTTATTGGACCTACTTCCCTCACTAAGTTAACACTTCTATTAGGAAAGCAGAAAAAGTTGAAGGACTAGTACAAAAGTGTCTGTGCCAAAAGGAAAGTGAAGGTTGACAAAGTAAGAAAAGGGTTCTTGTAGGAAATCCCACTAAACTCTACCCTTCAAGGCAGGTTAGGGTTTGGAGTAGTACACAACAGAGTGAATGGAGTTATAAACTTCATCAACAAGGCACAAAGGGTGGAAATGAGCAGGGTGCATATGATAAGCCAGAAAACCTGCCAGACTGGAGCAAAAGGTACATGGTAAGGTAATGTGGGTGATCATAGTTTGAGAGGGAAAGAATACTGTGATTACTGACAGGTTTGGGTGGAAGACAAAGTGAGTCATTTTGTAACAAAATAGGCAGATATTGTTGATCTGTGTAGTTGGGACATGATGATATCATGGACAAGAAAGAAGGAATGTTATAAGAACACTGGGATTCTACATTCCTCCTAGTTTCTATATTCTCTTGTGTTAGGGTGACTGACAAGTTCATCCTACCCCAGCAGAACAGAATGAGTTGGTCAGCTTACCTCAGATCCACTTTATAAATGGGTTGTTAGAGCAGTCTTAAGAGGCTCTGTACCCATGGTGGCAAACTTATGGCACTTGGGCCTCAGTGGGCTCTTTGTGTCCTTGAAAGCTCTAAAAGATTCACCATCACTGTCTATACTATTTACTGCTGGTGGTGAACCTCCTCCCAGTTGAAACAGCCCAGTAATCAACACTTCCTCTGAAGTTGTCCTCCCTCCTGAAACAGAAAGGAGGAAGTAGCAGCTTCTTAGCCCAGCTGCAAACACAGGTGCAGACCAAGATGGACAATCTGCTTCACAAGACAAGAATATTTCAGTACTGAATCTGGCCCTTAATCAGCCCTAAGGAAAGGAGGTAGCAATCTAGGAAACCTTGAAGACAACATAAATGGCGGAGCTATCTTGAGGCCATCATTTCGGTGGCTGCTACTTGGCTACTCCACACACAGATTCGTTTTACTGACTTCCTGCAGCAACATGAGACAGGCACCGGCTACATTTATATCAGAACGAAGAAGTCTTCTCTTTCTCTGGGGTTCAGAATTATGCAAATAAGGAGTAAAAACAAAAGCTTAGTGAAGTGAGGGCGGCCCGTACTTTTGAAAGCAGGCAGCTTTCAGAGTTCTTTAAAGCACATCTTTCTTCTAGCAGCTCTGTTTGCTCCTTGCCAATTGATTTACCGTTTGGCACTTTCACATAACCTTTCAACCAAAGTCGTCAAATTTCATTCTACAGTTCCCACTGGCTTCATTTTGTAAATGGAGAAATCAAGGCATGTAATAGTAGCTTTCAGTATGTGCGAGCTGGCCTCAAGTCTTGACCTGTACACTGTTCAACCTTCCCTTTGCAACAAACTTGCCTGACAAGGAAACTCTGGCACGACTGCTTCCCAGCCTACCCTCCTGTGATGTTAACTGGAGGGCTGTAGGACCCAGGGGAGGTTCAACCCCGGAGGCCAAGGCAGACACACCTGTCTAACCGCGTGGGTTGAGCAAGTGTGGGAACCAGTCTCTCCAGGGAGGGTGAAGAAGAAGTGGGCGACTACCATTCTTGGAGAAGAGGGAAAATACGATTCCCTCCTGGTTTTGGGGGTTTTGATGAGAAGTCCTGAGGAACAGCATGAGCGAGCCCCTTTTAGTCACGCCTCCCCCAACTGGAGTCTTCTTCGCCGGTCGTCCCGGAGCTCTTCGGCCCAAGCAGGCCGCCCCTCTCCGAGTGCCTTAGGTCCCGAAGCCGCTGACCTCTTGATGCTGGCCTCTCAGGCCAGGCATGAGCCCGGCAGCACACGGCGTCCAAGATTTAGCGACCTTTGCCTAGCCGCCTTGGCGCTCCGCGGCTGGCGCCCATCACCGCAGCTCCTCTGAGATGCCCCCGCAGGTTTTCTTAACCTTTTAGCGCGCGCGCTCTGCTTCTCTCCCCTGAGACTATGCCCGCTCGGGAACTGACTGGTGTCTTTACCCCTGCCCCAAGCCTCGCTGTCTTGAGGGTGGGGCTTAGGGAATCTGAGGAGCCATCCTTAGAACCTTTGAGTAGGCGCCATCCGGAGAGCGCGTGGGTGAGCTGGCGAGGGAACAAGCTAATTAGACAAAACTTACCTGTAGCAGTAGCTTCGGTACCTAGATGCTGAACTGAATCTCACAGGGGACACTCAGGGTGCATCCTCCCTTCTGCCCTGGCTCATTTTCTCCTGACTAGAAGGGCACACATTGGCAGAGTTTCTCACAAGGAACTGTTTATAGAGCAGTGTCCCCACTGAGTGGCTACCCCTTTGAATAGGGGATGCTGTGAGAGGATCCTCTAGGAAAACAGCTGTTCCCATGCCTTCTCACAGGTCTGCAACTGGACTCCAGATTCGGCTCTGGGAATCTTGCTTTTATCTTCTTCAAGTTTCTCAGTACAGATGTTGACAATTGGATTTGGGGGCCAAGCAAGAGTCAAGTTCAAAGTGATACGCCTGAGCTCTCCATTCCAGACTGAACTAGAAGACATGGGTCTCCTAAGTGGCTGATCTTGTTTCTGGAACTCAACTTGACAGAGCTAACCTGATTGCTACTTGGACTGCAGTGGCTCCAGAGCTCTTCTGGGATGGCTTGGGGGATGCTCTGAACACCAGAGCACAACGCTCAGAATCTCTACAATGGATAGAGTTTATGAAATACCTGAGGAACCAAACACAGATCCGGGTTCATCTGTGGAGGAAGATGTCATCCGAGGGGCCAACCCCCGCTTTACATTTCCATTTAGTATCCTCTTTTCCACCTTCTTGTACTGTGGGGAGGCTGCATCTGCCCTGTACATGGTTAGAGTCTATCGAAAGAATAATGAGACATTCTGGATGACATATACATTTTCTTTCTTTATGTTTTCATCTATTATGGTGCAGATGACCCTCATTTTTGTCCACAGAGATCTAGCCAAAGATAAGCCACTCTCATTATTTATGCATCTAATCCTTTTGGGACCTGTTATCAGGTGAGCAATTTTTTAATCTTTCCCCACCTTCTCTAAACAGAGAAAGATGATGCTAATATTTACTAGACTGATACTGTGCCTGTAATCTAATTGATTCTCCCATTCTTTCCCACTCTTGGCTTCCCTATCTACTGTCCAAAATAACTTACCTAAAATTTTAAGTGCCACCATGATAAATATGTGTCATGTGCCTGTGTTCCCAGACTGTGAATGATACCTTCAGTAAGACTTCCTTAGGCAATGCTTGCTATCTGACTTTTCATTGTAAAAAAACTGGTATGGAGCCAACAGATGTGGTCACCCTGCATACACAGGCCATGGCTACAGAACTGATTTATTTTTTCTGTGCTGCTGGGGACTGAATCAAGAGCTTTGGGGATGCTGTGCAAACACTCTACTCCTCAGCTACAACCCTATTCTGAGAGTGTATAATTTTAACTCTGCTTTTTGGATGTTCTTTAAATTGGAAGAAAATTCTTTCCTGTTTCCATACCATCCCATATTCAGTTTTACTTTGAGCTCATGGACAAAAGCTGCTATTTTTTAATTTTCCAGTTATTTGACAGCTGCAAAAAATTTGAGACATTTGCAGTGTTCTGGTACCCAACATGACATAATTCATTGTTCTCTTCTATTTCTATCTTAGAGTTCAACACTGTCATGTTTTTCTCTTTGTATATTTCTGTGATAATGATAATGATATGTAGTTGGAAGGAGGTAAAGGAAGGTAGTCCATCTATCTGGATGTAGCACCACAGCATATAGTATCAGGTGTTCCAATATAAGTTGCTTTGAAAGGATAAAAATCAAGGGAGACAGGTGTCTGCCTCAGCAGTCTCATGTGGATGCTATGAGATTTTCAAGGTGGAGCAGTGTTGTGAAACTTATGAGATCAAGAGGGAGGAATAGAGCGAGTTTGTCATGATTGCAAAGTGGCAAACACCTGTAGTTAGTTGAGGGCGATGGGTCAGAGTGTTGATGTCATAACTGGCAGTAGGAAGATATCTCAGTAAAGTATTATAATTGGGCTGTGAAACTGATAGAAGACGAAACTCCCCTCTTTATAAACCTTTTAATCTATCTATCTATCTATTTATCTATCTATCTATTCTTAATTATATCGCCATAAAGCTGAAAAATTATAGTTTTTACAATATAGCTTTAAATGAGAAAGAATTGGTTAGGGCCTAACACAAACAAAAAGCCCAAAATACAGTGGTAGGGAGTCAGGAGACTTGGCCTCTACTCCTCCCTCTCTCACTGATTAGTTGTGTGTCTTTAGTGAAATATCCAAAAATGCCTTGGGACTCAGTTACCTCATCTGCAAATTAAATGGGTTGGACTATATCATGAGTCTTAAACTCTAATTGAGGGAGCCAGGCAGGTATCATAAATGAGTGAAGTGGACCAAGTATGAGAAATTCAATAATGTTATGTGTGATGATGAATTTAAACAAAGTCTCAATGTTTGAAAAAAGAAGAAAAATAAGTATCATGGCAATTTGGAGTCCATGAGCTGCCTATAGAGGATTCAGCCATGTTACAGATCTGACCTGTTTTTTTCATGTTGGAATTGAGACACAGTACTGCCAGATCTCCTAACATTTTAGGAGACCCTTCTAAGCCAGGATTTCATAGGAAATGTCATGAGTTTAAATTTTGACCAAAAAAATTGAGAAATGACTTAGAACAACACAGTATGGACCAAGCTACATCTACTGGTCAGGTAGTGACCTAGCTCATTATATGCAGTCTTTAGACTTGGTGATCTAAAGGTCCTTTCCAGTTCTAAATCTATTAAATGTAATACAGTTAGTGGGTCAGGAACTTCAACATGCAAATTCCAGCAAGTACTAATCACCCAGCTTTGATCTCTCTCTCTCTCTCTCTCTCTCTCTCTCTCTCTCTCTCTCTCTGATCTGGACCCTCTATATTATTGTTCACTGTGTTCCATTTTTCTTGCATAACTTTCATTAGAAATGATTGGGAAACATTTATAACCTCAGTCACCAAAGCTCACAACAGAGAATATTAAAAATCTTCATAAATCATGTTCCTTGTATGCTTATTTTTTAAGGTCAAATTTTAGGTAAATAAAAATTTTTAGGTAAGTAGGATTAGTGCTATGAGGCATATGAAGGTATGTATAGGGTTAGCTCTCTTACATGAAATGCAACCATTCTTTTCAAAATGAAAATGTACTTTTAATTTATTGAAGCTTATAAAGGAGACAAATGCCCTCACATAAGCCGATGAAGTGCCTTAAGAGTAGAAGCATACTAATATTGAATGGAGAATTTTTTATGCCTATTTCTTATACTCTGAGTAACTACTTTAAAGATAATAATATGCAATGTATTAACTATTGTTATTCTCCTGTCATCTTATTATGAAATTTTGTTTTAGTTTTTCCATAAAAAAAGAATAGAAGCATAAACAGAGCATTTCAGGTTACCACTTTCCCCAGCACAGAATTAACAATAACATAGATGGGCTAGGGTTAAAAATTAAATGTTTTGTTGAGAATGTACTTAAATATTCTCCATAAAGAGGAAGAGAATGTTGTGTTTTCTTCTTTGTTATTTCTTTCCTTCTTTTTCTCTCCCATGTCTTAGAGTTTGTCTCTAAAAAGTATAAGTTTTATAACTAACACTTTGGGGTGCTACACATGAATCAGTCTTCAGATCTTATGGAGAACACTGGCCACTACATCTTCCAACACATCCTATCAGGGGCCAAAACCTAGTGAGGACATAAATTTCTGAGCTTAATCTTTGATCTACTTCTTTGTTGAATCATATTGCTGTTGTTATCCCCTTTCCACCATTTCTTACACTGTATTTTTCTTCTCATTATTTTGTTTATTCAGCAAATATTTATCAAATTTCCAGTGCATGATAGGGCATACAAACAAGATAAATATAACCCTCACCTTCAGCCTATTAGGGAAATTTTCTTAATTTAGACCACAGTTGTTCTTACTTGCCATAAGAAGTAGCTCATCATTTCCGTTTATTTCAGCGTGAATAAGGGAAGTGGTAACTCAAGTGTTCCAAAACAAGATGTTGTAGTTGTTTCTATTCACAGCATCAGAACTACCTAGGTACTTCTGATTATGAGGGGTAGATAGAAAAGGAACAGCAAAAAGTGTGATCTTTTCATTACTTCCAGAGTGATAGATTTCCATAAGGTTGTTTTCCTCTTTGTAAAGAGTGAATTGGGTATAAAAGGCTGTTGTCCAAAATAGGTCAAGAGACACAAAAATCGGGCTTTCTTTAAAAAGCAGAACCTGAAAAGCCTGATTATGGACTTGAAAGCTTTGACTAAACACTTTAAGGATTTCAGGCGATATGAAACCCAGGGCCTTCTGGAAACTCCAGCCTTCTCTCTGAACACAATAGCCTCATAATGCTTTTGTGTTCAAGGCACTTTTTAAAAACCACAGGGCTATTCTTTATTTTAGGGAAAAATAAAGCGAAATTTTGCAACAAAATAATAAGATAATAACAGTAGTTATTACATTACATATCATTATCATCATAATGGTTACTCAGAATACAATATATAAACATAAAACATTCTCCAAATGATATTAGCACAAACCTTTCTTTTTCAATTAATTAACAGAAACTAGTAGTATAACAATCTTGTATATCTTTCCTTTTCCTTTCCTTCCTTTCCCGTTTCCCCCATCCTAGTTCCTATTTCCTTTTGAATAATTTCTTCCTATTTCGCAATATCTATTGTACATTTTGGTCTTTATTAACTCTTTGAGTTTCTCACATCAGGGAGACAATGTGATGTTTATACATGTGAGTCTGATTTATTTTAGTTATGAGTATGGTCTCAAATTACATCCATTTACCTATAAATGTCTCAAGTTTGTTCTTCTTTATGGCTGAGTAGTACACCATTGTATAAAAAGACTATACCATTTTTATTCATTTCTCACTTGATGGGAATTTGTGTTATTTCCAAGATTTAGTTATTTCAAATTGTGCTCCTAAAGGAAACAAAACAATTCTATGTCCTCAAAGAAGTACTTCAGAAATGATGTTCTTAGGTCAGTAGGTGACCAAACAAAAAAATAACTTAAATTCAAGTTAACTTATAGAAGGCATGACCAACCCTTTCATTCCTGACTCCAGCACAGAAGCAAGGAAATGGTAAAATGTAACACAACCTCCCTAGGCATTTTCCTCATCCCTACAACCTCCCTTCCCTGGACAGCTTTAGTTAAGTTCCCATAATATTTTACTCCTGCAGATGCTTGGAGGCCATGATAAAGTACCTCACACTATGGAAGAAAGAAGGGCAGGAAGAGCCCTATGTCAGCCTCACCCGCAAGAAAATGCTAATAGATGGCGTGGAGGTGCTGATAGAGTGGGAGGTGGGCCACTCCATCCGGACCCTGGCTATGCATCGCAATGCCTACAAACGCATGTCACAGATCCAAGCCTTCCTGGGCTCAGTGCCACAGCTGACCTATCAGCTGTATGTGTCTCTGATCTCTGCAGAAGTCCCCCCAAGTAGAGGTGAGTGGGGTTAGGAGAGGGAGGGCTACACGTAAATCCAAGGTCTAAATTTAGATATCAGCTGTATAATATACTGGTTACTGGCTTCATGTAACAATTTAAATAAAAATTAAAATTTAAAACCTCCTTCCTCAGTACTACATGTCACATATCAAGTACTTAATAAGCACATATCACTAATGACTACTGTTTTGGATGGCAAAAGGTTTAGAACATTTTCATCATCAAAAAAACCCACAGTGGAATGCACAAGCAGAAATCCAAGCAATGTAGGGAGTCAGACATCTTAGGACTGTCAGATTTCTTGAACTAGAGTAAGCTGTTTAGACAAAAAATATCATAGCAAACCTCAGAAGAAGCTAGTAACTGAGCAGGAACAATATTTTCCCTTGTCCAGACTATTTAAATTATGTTAGTTGATTGGGTTATTTAGGAATGGCTATCTTTATAGAAGTTCCTAAATATTACTGACCATCAGAATCATGTGATACAGTTCTTTTAAAATTATATTGCATAGCTTGGCATGGTGGCACACATTTGTAATGGTAGCATTTGGGAGGCTCATACAGGTGGAGCACCATGAGATCAAGCTTAGCTTCTAGTATAGTGAATTCGAGGGCAGCCTGACCTACACAATGAGGCCCTGTCACAAAATACAAAACAAAAAAAATAAGTGAGAGAATGAATAAACAAAAGAATGGGGCCAGGGAGTTAGTTGGCTCAGTAGAATAAGTGCTTCCCTGGCAAGCGCAAGGCCCTGAGTTCAATCCCTGGTTCTGCCAAAAAAAAGAAGAAGGAGGAGGAGAAGGAG